TTTTTTCCAGTCCAACATCAGATGGTGCAGCAGCAGTAATTCTGTGTAGCGAAAAATTTTTGATGAAATTTCCCCATCTCTCCAAACAAGCTATTGAAATTTTTTACTAATTCATTTTAAGTTAATTAATAATTAGTAGCAAACTTACAATAATTTTAAATTAAGCTTAATTTTATTTGAAATAATTTCTTCATTTTTTTCCCCGCTTTCCTTTTTCTTTTTTTATTACCTTTACCAAGACAAGATATGCACTTGACAAAATGATACAATAAAGGTGACAATGCCTATGATGCAAAGTGGGTTATTTAGATTTGTTTTGATCGGACCAGATAACGTCATCAAGAAATGGATTGTTGATTTCAAGGTATGCTTCTCAGCATTATACCCTTTCATTTCTTATTCATCTTACATGAACTGAAATGGATATTTTAAAATTTCCTAAAAATCAAAGCAATGATAAAATCCTCTATTTGAGACCTTTTTATCTTTGAATGCATTCTTTTTAATTGTTAGGTGACATCACCGGTTATTGCCCAAACGGGTGAAGGTAATGTAGATGATGACAATGAAAGATTCTGATTTTGTGAAAATTGTTACCGGAGAATTGCGACCTGATCAGGTAAATATGCTCATTTGATATTCAGAAGTAAAAAACAATTAAAAATTTAGAATTTAGTCGGTAATTACTTGCATTAAAACAATTTTTAATATTATGTGGTAAAAAATGATATAAGCAGACTAATTGACATCATTAATCTTATCTCAGTTCCTTGATCTCATAATATTTTGTTTTCTTTTTGAATATTTAAACTTTGCGACAGTTTGTTATTCTGCTACTGTCTCTTACATACTGGTCATATTTGTGCAAAAAAGTGCTCCAGCAACAAACTGGAGTATGAAATATAGGTCAGTATTTTTGAAATTCGTTTACTCCTCTTCAATAACATTTAGTAGTTGATGTCATATAAAATGGTTTCAGGCAGTTCAGGCATTACTGAGTGGTTAGGGAATCCGAGTTATCAGAATACTCTCCTTTATATCGAGTAGTTTGCGCTGGCATACCAAAGCGGTTAAACTACAATGATGATATCAGTATTTTATTGTACCTTGGCTATTTTATGTATAAAGAAAAAGGAACGGGGATGCCTAAAATTCGTTTGTAATTATGAGTAAATAAAACAGCTTACGAAAGCAGCAGCGAGAGACATCACCAATCGTAATATTTGACTACATTTCTGAACAGGTAGAAAGTAAGTTAACATTTTTCTTTCCAAAGTTTAGTTTCAAAAGACCGACACATCAAATATTGGGTCCAATCGTTGTCTATTATTTAATTATAATCAGTGACACATGATATCCAATTCATTACAAGATGATTTACATTTTTCTTCTCTTGCAAGCATCTTTTTTTGCAAGTGAATATTTCCATAACAGTGCCATATAATGCAAACAGAGTTATTCAATATCGTACGGATTAAATATTCCTTTAACCAGTAACATTTATTACCAACAATCTGCCAGTTTTAATTTATGCAAATCCTTACATTTCCTCTGTCATGGAAATTTTCAAACCATCAATATTTCTAGTAATCCCAAAGCACATTCATCAAACGCCAGTTCAGAGGTCGGAAAATGAGAATTCAAAGGAGAGAAATATAAAAAAATAATTTGAATCGCACGAATTGAAAACTGTTTGAAATTGATCAACTCATCAGTTCAAAAAGAAGCCTTTTCCGACAAATGGGTTGGATAAACCATCAGTCCTATATTCCGGAATGCAGCACTGAGATCAAAATTTACTAATACCATTATTAATTAATACAATTAGTCTCCATGAAGGCTATCAAATCAAATCACTTACTTTATTGCCATAATATAATTCATTATTAAAGGCCATCTTCATCTGTTACTTGCAACATCTATTGCTGACTTTTTTTTCTTTTTCCTCCTTTTTTTACAGAAATTCACAGTTTCAAAAGGAATATAACTTGAACGAGATTCTGAATGCACGTGTAATTCACGATTTTATGGGTCTTCTGGAATACAGGTAGCTTAAACGATAATTGAATTAATAAAAGCAATAATTATTAAAATTTAAAAGTAACAATATGGTCAAGTCCTACTATATGTGCGAGATTATTTCTTGTTTGCATTGCATTATATGTTTGCATCCAGTATGTCTGCATCAACAATTGACTAACCGCACAAAAACGAAAACCAAATATTTCCATAACAATGC